CCAGCATTAGTGGGGATTGACCAGGTGGTGTCTGAGGATATGAATGCACAGCTTTGTGATGAGCCGACAACAGAGGAAATCAGAAATGCTCTCTTTCAGATGCATCCAAACAAAGTCCCGGGACCCGATGGTATGCATGCTTTATTTTTTCAGAAATTTTGGCATATTATTGGGAGTGATATTGTTGGTTTTGTGAAAAGTTGGTGGCGTGGAGAAATGAGCTTGAATGCGGTTAATAAGACTTGTGTGGTTTTAATTCCGAAGTGTGAAGATCCTAAACGTATTTCGGAATTCAGACCCATAAGTTGTTGTAATGTGGTATACAAAATAATCTCAAAAGTTATGTCGAACAAAATGAAACCTTTTCTGGAGCAAATTATTTCTATCAATCAGAGTGCTTTTGTTCCGAAAAGGTTAATTACTGATAATACACTTGTAGCTTTTGAGATTTTCCATGCTATGAAGAGAGGGGGTGAAGGTAGAGAGGGTACAATTGCTCTGAAATTGGATATGAGCAAGGCTTATGACAGGGTGGAATGGAGTTTTCTGGATAGTTGGGTTCGTAGAATTCTGGATTGTTTATCAAGTGTCTCCTTTGCTTTTAAAATAAATGGGAAGATTTCGGGATCGGTTGTGCCTTCTAGGGGTCTTAGACAAGGAGACCCAATTTCTCCCTATTTATTCCTCATTGTGGCTGATGCATTCTCGACTCTGCTTTCAAAGGCGGCGACTGACAGCTTAATTCATGGAGCGGGAATTTGTAGAGGTGCCCCCAGAGTGTCACATTTATTTTTTGCAGATGATAGCCTTCTTTTTGCTAAAGCTACTGTTAGTGAGTGCTCGGTGATAGCTGACATTATCAGCAAATATGAAAGAGCATCTGGTCAAAGTGTTAATCTGACAAAAACAGATGCTGTTTTTAGCAAAAATGTGAGTGACTCTCGTCGATTGGAAATTACTGATATTTTGGGGGTAAGAGAAGTAGAGAGACATGAAAAATATTTAGGCTTGCCGACAATTATCGGAAAGTCTAAGAAAGCAATCTTTGCTAGCCTGAAAGAAAGAATTTGGTGGAAAATTCAAGGGTGGAAGGAGAAGTTATTATCTAGGCCCGGGAAGGAGATATTGATCAAAGCCGTTGCTCAAGCAATTCCGACATACATGATGAATATTTTTAAGATTCCGGACAGCTTTATTGATGAGATTCATGCACTCTTAGCCCAGTTTTGGTGGGGTTCGTCTGACAACTTAAGGAAGATGCATTGGCATAGTTGGGATTCTATGAGCAAACCGAAGTCACAAGGGGGTCTTGGTTTTCGTGATCTTAAGGTGTTTAATCAAGCCTTGCTTGGAAAACAAATGTGGAGACTATACAATAATCCTAACCCTCTCCTTCATGCCATTCTCAAAGCCCGGTATTTCAAAAATAGCTCGATATTAGAGGCATATAGAGGTTATGACCCGAGCTACTCTTGGAGGAGCTTGTGGGGTGCCAAGTCTCTCCTTTTAGATGGGCTAAAATGGCGGATTGGGAATGGGATAAATACCAGGGTGTGGCTTGATTCTTGGATTCCTGGGAACATTATTCCTGCTCATGGGACGAACTTTGATCCTGACTTGCGTGTGGCAGAGCTAATTGATCAACAATGTGGTGAATGGAAGGTTGAAACGCTACAGCAGCTATTCTCTAATGATGTGTGTGCTCTCATCCTCAATATTCCGCTATCTAGTAGACTGCCAGAAGATAGATGGTTTTGGGGACATACGAGAGATGGTGATTACAGTGTGAGGACTGCTTATTGGCTGGGGAAGTTGGGTACAATGCAAACAAGCAATAATAGTGCGGGTTCCCCTGATCAGATTGTGTGGCGAGTTACTTGGGGATTGGATGGCCAACCGAAACTGCAGCACTTCGTGTGGAATGCGTGCAAGGGAAGCGTGGCAGTAAAGGCCGAGCTTCACAGGAGACATATAGCCCCTAATGGGCTGTGTGGTGCGTGTAATGAAGAAGCCGAGACTATTACCCATGCTTTGTTCGATTGCAAGGAGATTAAGCATGTTTGGGGTATTTTTGAGCTTGATGCTATTATTAATGACTCTCCTAGACATGCTCCTTTCTCCGATTGGCTGCTATGGATGAACGAAAAAGTGGACAAAGTGACGCTTAGGAGGGTACTCTCAATTGCGTGGGCTGTTTGGTTTTGTAGAAATAAAAGGGTGTATACCGACACACCCTTGGCTGTTGATTATGTGGCTGCAGGTTTTCTCCGTATGGTCAATGATTATATTGGCTACGCTAAGAAGGTGTTCATAGCTCCTACTGCAAGCCGTGTTACCGCTACTGTAACCAGATGGATTCGTCCCCCAAATGAAGTGGTAAAGATAAATGTTGATGCACATGTTGGATCTGGAAACACTGGTGGTCTTGGGGCAGTAGCAAGGGACGTTAATGGATGCATCTTGTGGGCTGCTGCCAAGAGACTTCCTGCTGATATGGGGGTGGAAATTGCCGAAGCTGCTGCTGTCCGTTATGGGTGTCAAGTTGCTCTTCGCCTTGGATGTTCAAGAATTTGGATTGAAACTGATGCTGAGAAGGTTGTTATTAATGTGAGGCAAGCAAAGATGGGCTTTTCTCATACTTGGTTAATCTATGATGATGTTAATCGTTTAACCAAGTCTTTTCATGTTTTTAGTATTTCTCATATTCGTAGAGCAAGAAATTCGGTAGCTCATCTCATGGCTAGATGGGATACTCGAAATATTGATGAATTTATTTGTATTGGTGACATACCGCAACTTGATCTATAATAAAATCCTGCTAACGTTTTCCCTCAAAAAAAAAAAAAATCCCAACTTTCCATTATTATTGAATAATCCCAACTTTGGGGGGCATTTTTTTTAATTAGGCCAAATGACCGGTAACTTGATGAAGGGGTATTTTTTGTTTTTTAATTTTTATTAAATGCCACATGTGTTATTATTATTGGTTTAAAAATTATAGGAAAGAAAAACAAAAGAAAAAAAAAAAAAACAACCACCAGAGGAACCTTCTGCCCCCAACGGCCAACCACCACACCTCTGCCCTTCTCCGGTGCCCAGGAGCACCTCCACCCTTCAATTCACCATTTTAGGGGTCGAAATTCACGCAGTTGGTGGTTTTGGGGGTCGATGTTCGCGGGGGACGGTGGTTTCAAGGGCCATAGTTGCGCGGTTTGTGATTTTGGGGTCGGGATTAGATTCGCGCGGATGTTTGTTTTGGGGATCGAGGTTCACGTGAGAAGGTGGTTTTAGGAGTCGCGGTTCTGGGCTGGTGATTTTGGGGGTCGGGATTAGCGCTGCTGGTGGTAATGGAGGGTCGAGGTTCGCGCGGGATGGTGTTCTAGGGGTCACGTTTGCTGGGCTGGCGATTTGGGAGATAGGGATTCGCGCTAATGGTGGTAATGGGGGCCGAGGTTGCGTGGTGGTGGTGCGGCTGGTAATTTTGGGGGTCGGGGTTCGCCGACCGGTTGGTTTTGGTGGCCCAAATGGCGGTGGACGACGAGGTTAGGGGTGGGGGTTTAGGTTTCACGGTGGTCTGTAGGGAGTGGTTGGAGTTTTTTTTTTTGTAATTTTTCATTTTTTTTTAATTTTTTGACCAATCAGGGCTTGACACGTGTCAAGTTACCTATTATAATAGGTCATTGACTTTTATTGACCGGTCATGACCTGATAAAAGAAAATGCCACCCAAAGTTGGGATTATTCAATAATAATGTAAAGTTGGGATTAATGAAAGGAAATCGCTGAAATTAAAGTTAGGATTAATAATTATAAATTTTCCTTTTTTTTAATAACAAAATATATAAGTATTAATAAAGAAAACAAAAATAAATAGATTATCCAATTATCCTATGAATTTTAAATTCACTTATTAGGAAAGTTTTACAGTCCTTTTATTTATTTTATTAAGTACAAAATTAATCATAATTTTTAATAAATATCCTATAACTTAATTCTATTTCCATTATCAAATTCGTTTTAAATGTTCTTTAAAATAACATCCATTTATAATATATGAAATTACAAACTCCGTTAGTACAAGAGTTACTCAACCTAGGGGTTACTTTGTATGTCTAATATATATCACCAATTACTACAAGAGTTACTTCGTTAGTGCTATAGGGGATACTCACTTAGGCCCTGTTATCTTCACCTTAATTTTGTTGAATTGAAATTATTTTTACTGAACTGAAATTATATTTGTTAAACTTAAATTATTTTTACTGAACTTAAATTAATTTTACTGAACTGAAATTATTTTTGTTGAACTGAAATTATTTTTACTGATTTTCTATTATAATTCTTCTTTTAGAAAACTGAATTTTACTGAACTGAACTTATTTTTACTGAACTGAAATTATTTTTTACTGAACTGAAATTAATTTTACTGAACTGAACTTATTTTTACTGAACTAAAATTATTTTTACATAATTTTATTTTTTAAGGTGAATAGAACAGGGCCTTAGTATTACATGGGTTACTCGGTCAATTTTAGAGGGGTTACTTTGGTGTGGCTAGCCACATGTAAAATGTATTGTTATTTAATTTATTAAAAAAATATTACAGAAAATAATTTTTAATTAGTAAAAATAATTTTAATTTTGAAAAATACTTTCGATTCAGTATAAATAATTTAAGCTTAATAAAAACAATTTCAAGTCAATAATAATGACAGATATTTATTTACAAACTAAATTACATAAAGTACACTCCATATGATATCGTATGTGTAAATATCCTTCATTTTCATAACGAATTATTTGATTGTATTTAACATCAAGTAAAAATGTTATCATATTATTTTATCAACCATTTGAATATCGCCCAGGCACAAAATTAGTAAATACATATCCCATATATAAAGCACAAAGAAAAATATTTTTTGTAAAAAATATGTTGAATAGTGTAAAACTAGAAACGGAACAATTAGTTAAAAATGGAGGAAGTATGAAATAATTCACTTATGTCAATCGGAAAAAACACAGCCTTAGAATTATTGGAATTCCAATATCAAAGTTTGATGTTAAAAACATGGCAATTTTCTTGACTAACAATTTTCCAAACATCAATTTATGACACATAAATGCATTACAAGTATAGTCAAATTTCCCATTTCTCTTATCAAGTATCAACAATAAAATTAGAGCAATTTTATAGCTTTGCAAAAATTGCTGCAAATGTTTTTTTTTTTTTTTTCTCTTTTTGTGCACATATAATAAGAGAAAGTTAACTGTCTACAAGGACTAGTCCATTGTCCTGTATTCTTCTTTGAGCTAGCTTCGGCTATCCGTATACCTAAGGAGTTCAGAAGTAAAATCGATTACATAGACCACAAACCCATATGATAACACTAATCCCATAACAATGCTAAGATGGACCGAACTAGGTTATTGACAATCTCTTCAACAGCCACAAACTGTTACCATACTGACAAGATTATGCACTGCTTTTTCCAAAGGTGGCAATTCAAGCCGGAAACAAACTCCCACAGAAGATCGGATGGCGAATTTCAGCCCCTAACATGCAACGAGATGCTGGAATCCCTTGTAGGATTAGTTTCCTGTTTTAGTATTTTGCACCCAAAATGTGAATGGAAAATACACGTCCTGTACATGCATCCTTAGTCCTTAGAACACTTGGTCACTTCTACATTATGTTTACACTTGGTGCACCTGCTGTAAAGCTTTGCAGAACATATCGATGAATTGATTGTCCTGGAAAAGAAAACAGAGATAATATCAGCCTAAACACAAGTATAAATGGAGTATTTAAACAACTGCACCCCTTACAATCTTGAGCACTAAGCAACAAACAAGCACTTGAGTTCATAACTCATTTTTTTTTTTTTGTTAATGTAATGTAGTAGGCCTAGGCCAGAAAGGAGCTATCACAGGAAGCCCCATCAGAAAAGTCGAAGTACACGCTCTAGATATTGGGGAGGAAAGGAATTCCAACTCCAATATCTCTAAGTGGATTTTGATCCTATGACATCAAAGTTGCAAGAGCAAACCTTACCATTAAACTACAACAAGTTGATCTATCATGCGAAAAACTGGATATGATTTATAATGGGGTATAATATCCAAGGCAAAATACTAGTTTTGTATATCAAGAGATTGAAGGTTTGGTACATGCACCAAACTGCTCAGCAACAAAATACTGACAGTATTTGACCATAAAATATGAGTGCTTCATTTATGTGATTTACTCACTACGTTAGTGGGAACACAAGGACCATACAATCATGTTTTGTGATCATAAGGACCATACAATTTGCAGTACTGGTTATTGCAGTATTAACACAAAGGATACAGAACATCCAATCTACCACAGTAAATAATTTTGTTCAAATTTCTACAAAATAAAACATGTGACAACAAAGTCCAAATATTAGAAGGCATGCAAGGCATTTCAGAGTTCCCTGCGCCTTGTTGAAGTGAGGCGTATATGATAAAATAATTATAAAAAAAAAACCGTTATGCATCTTGTATCAGCTGCATCGTAGCTGCAGTTCATCGAAATTGCTTCGCGGCTTTGCCTAGATGGCTAGACCACAAAAAGGCGCATGACCCCTAACATGCTTAATCAAACTCTGAGGATGTGGTTAAGTCAATCCTGTTTAGCTAAATGTGGACAAAATAGAGGGAGAATGGAGGCAGTACAAGTTGTAAAACTAACAGATATGCTTGTTTTTAGCATCATCCCTATCCCTGAATAATGTCAAAAGTAACACATGTGAATTCCACTCTACACAAAACTCATTCTATCCACTCCCAGAGATCGGTGCTTTTTTTTTTATATATATATAAACTTCACAAGTTAAGAATTTATGTGTCATATATAACTTCATTTACTTGTGTTAGTTTGGTCTCATACTCTCCCATTGACCAGCAATTTTCATTGATAAATGAAACATAATCAAAGTAACAAAGTTCTATAGCAGGCTAGAAAACCACATCAGTCAAACGGAAAATGGAAAAAATGCCCGGGGAGGAGAGGAGGGGGGGATGTTAACCTGGACAAGCGTCATAAGAGCTTCACGAACTTTGCCTCGGTCAATAACAGGTCCGTGGGTTGGTGCAGCAATATTTTGCGGTGTAAGAAATGGAGATGGTGCTGGTGGAGGGTAAGGTTGGAGAAATGGGGCTCCATATGGGCGCTGCAGAGCAGTGTGTGGCAAGGATGATGGAACGGGTGGCTGTGACATGGCAGATGAAGAATGGGGGTTGTGAAAGATAGCAGGTGTGACAAGATTTGCTATCTGATTGCCTCTGTAAGTTGAATCAGAACCTTCATGGTGGTGAATTAGATGAAAGGTTTGAGCTGATGTTGCCACAGCAGGTACTTGAAGAAGTCCAGTAGGTGCAGGTATCAGACCAGAACTGCCTATCGATGTCAAATGTTCACTGGAAGGATGATAAGTTTGCACTGGCTTCCCTGAATTAGAAATATTAGTTGCCGCCTGAAAATATAGCAAAAAACACATCACAACAGTTAGACAAATTTACTTGCTATCACAGGGTGATACACTATTACAGCATTCTAAAATCTTTAAGCAAAATACTAAAAAAAACATCTTTCGACAGACCAGTAAAAATTGCCAATCATATATGGTCAAACTCGTAATATTTGAAGGATTATGTAAAAACTCATGCAACCAAAGGCCATATATTATGCAAAAGCCCCTCAGTAGCAAGTAAACTGAGTTACAGCCTCAATGGAGAATAAGTTTCAAGGTATTTCACATTTTAAAAATCAAAGTATCTGAAATATTTTCTTTAAAGATAAGGAAAAGTTTAACCAATGAAAAGGAAAAAAATGGACAAAGCATAGATGATTCAATATTTAAAAAAAATTAAAAAAAATAATAATAAAATAAAAAATAAATAAATCAGCTAAAAGTCTGTTAATTTAGAACTACTTCAGATATCAGAGGGAACTCTTTTTCCAAAGCCTGGATCTCAGGCGTATATTATCATAAGCAGGGTGAGTGATTAATGTATCAGATATACAAACCCATGGAAGAGGCCATTTCTCATGAAGCATGGACTCATCCAAAGCTTAGATAAGGATGGATACCATACAACAACAACAAAGCCTTGGTCTCAAAATGATGTGGGGTCGACTAACATGAATTGTCAGAAGGAACCGTCTGATTTGTAAAAAAATAAAAAAAAAATAAAAAAATAAAAAAAAAAAAGAACAAACATAACAAGATAACTTGGTTGAAATAATTTTGATTAAAAAAAAGTGTGTTAAGTGTGAAAAAGAAAGAGTATACAAATATTCTCCCTTCTTTAACTAGAAATGTCAAGCAGAAATCGAGATGCTAGATGATCAGTTACAAAATACCCTCCCGGCTTCAATTAGAAATGTCAAGCAGAATTCGAGATGCTAGATGATCAAAACATCACAAAATTATTAAAGAACAAATAATGATGAACTAACATCTCACATCAACATTTAACATGCTAGAGACAAAGCAGGTCACAGAGCTCACAATAGCACAGACACAAATGAAGTTCACAATCAATTTTATTTTATTTTTTTTAAAAAAAAAAAAAAAAAAAACAAAACAAAACAAAAAAAACTAAGCTGAAGTAGTGATACTAATTAACAAAATTATATCTCAAGATTTTCCAAGTACAGACATTGAACAAATTTGAGATAGAATTAATCTCAGTAACACCAGAGGCATGAATGGAAGCTGATGATATCCCAGGTGATGGCTCCAATGGGCTTTCAATTATTGCCGTGGATGGGACAGGTTCAAGCTCCTTGAACTCGCTGCATAATAAAAGGCCAATATTAAAGTGTTACTCTGAAACTATTGATGCTTTGTGCAAACAGATTTGCACCACAATACTTTTCACACAATCATCAACAAAGCTTTTACCTGATACTAGGACCAAAATATTAACCAAAGAAAAAGGAAGGCAATACCCTTTTTCAGTACATAATAAAAAGAGTCCTAAATCATACCACCAAAACAAGCTTTAACACTAGTCATTAATGCACACCGAGAGACCTCAAATGGTTTCCAATGGTTTCCAATTGCTAACATTACATCTTTCATTGACAGCTCACTTATTGAACTACATTAAATTCAAAATATGATAAACTATGGAAATGATTCAAAAAGATCAAAAGTCAACTTTCATCTTCTTCATTAAAACCTATTGCTGCTTTACAGAAATACTAAAAGTAAATTACTACCTTTGGTTAAATTCTGATGGCTCCGGAGCACTCCTTCCATATGAGTCAATGATCCTGCAGGACACACAATTGAGAAAAACAAAAAATTACCAAGAAAATTATACAAAATACATTAGGATCAACTAACAATGGTTACTGAACAATATCAAATAATAGTATCATATGGGGTAGACTCTGCACACAACCAATACCATATGCAGAAAAAGGGACATTTCTGAGAATGGAAACAAAGGAAGAATAGATAACAGACATGGTAAGAAACACTAAGAAAGAAATGAAAAAAAAAAATATATTGCTCTTTATCAATAATGATTTCGCAAATTTATTGCCACCATAATATATCACCTGTTAAAGAGATCAGCAACCTCCTCGCATTCAGGAGTATTATAAAACCATATGCCATTAACTTCTTGGACAACATTTTTGTATAGAAGATAAGGAACTTGAACATCAAATTCGAAACTGCCTGAGAGATTCTCCACAAGATTTTCTGCAACAGAACAGATCAAGAACCTTATATATACAGCGACAAAACTCTCACATATAATTATATAACACTTTAAAAGATCATGACCTAGGTGTTTAAACACATAAAAGCACAGTGTCATTCAACATGAAAAAATTCAGAGCTCATTTGAACCTGCACTGTTAGCTTGTTTTCTAGTTTGCCTTGACTAAAAGAGCAAAGCACTTGTTCAATTTACATTGATTGCTCAAACAAAAATAATATAAGTCAAAGATATGATATGCAAAGTTATTATCCACGAAACCCCAAAGCTAAGGTAGGAAGACAAATTTGCTCTAAACCAATGCTTTGGTGAGGGCATTATTTCTTATTAATAGAAAATCTATGACTATGTTTGCTCCAAACTACAATAGGAGAAAAAGCAAACCCCTAAACTATAGCCATTAATTATAAGCATCTTGATAGCCAAATCCAGAAATCAAATTGAATCAACATTATTTCTTTAAAAGGCCAAATATTAGAAGGTATTCCAAAAAAAAAAAAAAAAAAAAAAAGTAAAAAGAAAAAGTCACTGGCACGGCTTTCACGATATCACGATATATTCCCTCTGTATATTTTATGTAAAACATTTATCCTTAGCATGTATGTCAATTTCTAAACTTTAGCCAATATTATCTTTAATTATCAGTAACAATCAATTTTGCACGGATACGCCATCTGGTTGCCGTCTCCCGACGGGTACGGTACAGATACGCCATAGAAACGTCCCCAAGCTGTCCCCGTCGAAAGTGGTACGGCAAGCAATTTTGGGGACGTTTAACCTCTTGCTTGGAAACGTATCAGGGACGGGGAAGCTCATTTTCTGACGTTTCCATTAAAGCCCTGCCCTTTTTTTTTTTTTTTTTTAAAAAAAATCCCAAAATTACTCATCAGAATGTCGATTTCCCCCAATTATCAAAAACCCTAAAATTGCGAACGTTGATTGTGCGGCCTGATTTAACCGTCTGCGGCGACCGGAGACTACTTGCGACCCCTCCGACACCGGCAACCGGCCTGATTCAACATTTCTGCTTCTGATTTCCTTTTCTCTCTTTCTTCGAACTATTTTTTTTCTTTATGTGAATAATGGAGTGATGTTTTCGGTAAAGCATGTGATTACTTGATTTTTTAATTTTTTTTTTAAAAATTTGAAGTTACTGAGAATATAGATGGCAGTAGGTAGAAATCACATGGTGCTTTTTCTTTCCCATATTTTGTTTTTTTGTTTTTTTTAAACCCCCATATTTCGTTTTAAATGGAAATGTGATTATGATTATGATTATGATTATGGTACTTTGATTATGAATTTCATGTGTTATGAATTGTTGCTATGAGTTTATGGATTTTTTTTTTTTTTAAAAAAAAACTTTTTATGGATTTACATTTTGCTGAATTTTTATTTGCCGTATCCTAGCCATACCCGTTTTTGGGAATTTTAATTTTGCCGTATCTCGTACCCGTATCCGTACCCGTTTTTTTACCCGTATCCGAATCAGTGCAATCTAGGTAACAATTATAACAATTCATTGGCATGGCCTTCGCTATATACTCCCTCTGTATATTTTATGTAAAACATTTATCCTTAGCATGTATGTCAATTCTAAACTTTAGCCAATATTATCTCTAATTATCAATAAGTAAAAATTATAACATTTGAATATAAAATAATCTATTCACTGAGATAATTCCAACAAGTACCCACAAAACAATATTCTTTCTTATTTTTAAAACATTAACACTAGTCAAAGTGGATTAGGTGAACAGTGCAAAAGTCAAAACGTTTCACTTATGAAAATACGAGGGAAGGATCAGACACTCATTAGTACCCTACTCCCAACCTAGAAGGCTAGAATTACAAACGTCAAAGATCATGTGTTGGTGGAGCAAGACCACAACAAAGAAGCAAGAACAAGAAGAAAAGAAATGCCCTCACATATTATTTGGCTTTGTAGCTACTCCATGGATTTTGGCCAATCACCCACGCGTACAATTCAGATTTATGTGTGGAAGTCAGGTTACATGCTGAAATGTAATTGACCATTGATCAATTTACTTACGGGTTAAGTATGCTAGGTGTCATACTTATGGAAGGTTAAAAGCTATATCCCAAAGAGTTAGGAACACTATTAAAAAGATTGTACTTCGTTTATCCAAATTAGCAAACACATATTCCTTTTTGGGAATTTTCTTTTTAGTTCACGCATTTCATAGTATAATGGATAAATTTTGTGTGGTTGACTAGTTAATTAGTAGATAAAGGGCCAAGTAGAGGGGTAATTGGGTAAGGGTATTATGGCCTTCTGTCATTCTATCTCACTTCTTAATTGGCTTCATATGTCCTAAAAATAAACAAGTCATCTACTAGTACTTTGGATTGGAGGAAGTAATAGATTAGCAGCCCTATATATATAGGCCATTCAGGGAAGGTTTGACATCATGATTAAACAAGCCTCATATCAAGATCGAAAGAGAGAAGATCACTAATAGGAGAATTAGTAATTAAGCGAGAGCTAATAGTGGTAATTATGTTTAGTGAGGAAAGTACAAGACTAATAACCACAAGTAGCTAAGCTTGGTTATCTAAAGATATTGATAATAAATATATGTGAGGGTATTATTCTTGCAATTTACTCTTATGATTAGTCATAAAGGGTAATAAAAATTGCCCAAAACTATTGTTTGTGATAATGTGTGTTACTGTTGATTAATTTCTTCCTCTAAAATTCCACTAAGATACCTAAACTTGTATGTTTGTCTACTCCGAATTAACAATTCAAAGGAAATCAGTCAAATTCAAGCTCGGATCTTAAGACGAAACTTGGCGTCTTGGTCTTATAGAAGTTGCATAAAAAGAAAAGAATTAAGGTGTTGAAAGCTAAGCTCCCTGCTATGTCTAAGAGAAAGAGTACGAGTAAAGAAAATCATCTAGAATTGATAGGTCATACATCTCTCTTCCATTTAAACATAACATCTCATGAATCTCAAGCTCCGAAAAAACATGCATACAGTGTGCACACAAAAAAAGAAAAAAAGGGGGGGGGGGGAAGTAATTGAACTTGGGGGCTAACAATAACAAAGGTTACAGTGGCAAAGCAATTGGAAATCATCCACCCTAGTACAACCATAAGCTACAATTTTATCATGTGAGAACACATTTACGTCCAATAAAGGAAAGAAAAGATGACAAAATGTAAAACATAATATACCTGAGTCAAACACATTTGATACTCAAAATAATAGTATGTGTGCATGATCCTTGATATATATGGAAACTTAATGCACACATATTAAGTACCCCTAACAAGACCAAGTGATAGCCTACACATACATCCTCAATATCATAGATCATATTGTTTCAAAAAGAAATTCAAAAGGAAGTGCCAAGTCTTCCCCACCAGCACATTGGTATTATGCATCACATAACCAAGGACCTGTCCAATCTTTTTCAAATTCTCCTCTGACAATGGAGCCTTTTCGCATTGTAAGGGTCAGTGCTTTTAGCTTATTTTATTCTTTGGACATTATTTCTTGACAGCACAAAGACAATATCAAAAGTGAATAAAAAGAAACAACTCACACTAACATCTATAAGCAGCGACAACAATGTGCAGGTTCAGCGTAAACATGGCTTAACATTGCAGAGGGGATTTACTTTGACGAGATACAAAATCCTGACTCAACAAGATGTAGCATTTGAAGTTCAATTAAGGCTAATTGTTTGCTCTACTTTTCATTGGTTTTGTTTAACTCATTTCGAGAAGAGAAACCAGATGAGCTAAAGCCTCTAGGGCAATTTTCAATTTTATAAAGTCAATATCAAATCATTATCATTCCTAGATGAGCTCTAGCCTCTAGGCCAAATTGAACATTGCCCTAGACTCTAGGGAAATGTTCAATTTTCTAAATTCAATGTCAAATCATTATCATTCCTATCTCTTAACATTGCAGACCATCACACTCATGATACATTAAAGTTCAATAAAAACATTGGCACAACATTAACATGTAGTACAAGTAGGTTCTATTAAAACTATAGAATTTGAAAATCATAATTCGAAATTCGATGAATAATCTAACCTGTATTTCTTTGATTCATAACAATAAACTGATGCCAAGGATCCTTACTCCTGCAACATTAGCAATCAAAAGAGTTCAATTATCCATCACTATTGAATAATTAACCTGTAATTCTTTAATTCATAGAACAAACATCACCATGGAAATTGCCATGATGTTCTCAAAACAAAATTACACTACAAATCCATTAACATTACCACCATTTATTACCGCCTACTAAACGAGTCGTAAAATTCTAATTCAACACTAAATCGAAGCAAATGAAACAAATTCAGATACCTTTTAACAACAAAAAGGGAGCCTTGAACATCCTTGCGACTCTGAAATCAACGAAATATTGCAAAACAAAATTAGGAGAGAGAAATCTGAAGAAGATAAAAACAAAAAAAGGATTGAGATTACGAATTACGAACCCATTGATTAGAACCCATGCTGAATTCGTACAAAGCGACATGAGCAGCAGTGAAGAGAATATCTTGAATACAAGGATCGAATCGCTGAAGAACAGTGAGATTGAGGAGTTTAGTGCTTTGTTGATCTAAATTTGGCATCAATTTTCCAGACTGAGGCATCGTAAATTGAAATTGATTTGGGGGCAAACCCTAAATTAAACCTTAATTTTTGTACAGGTGAAAGAGGAGAGGAGAGGAGAGGAGAGAGAAAATAGAGGAAGAAGATCTGGAAATGGCAGAAAGATGGCAGTCGTCTGTTTCCAATGAGCGAGCTTTCTCACGATTATTTTCAATTTCTTCGTTTTTGTATCGGTCCGGTTCGATGCTTTCAACTTAATTAAGGGTTAAAATATTCATTTGGGTTTTTCGATTAAATGAATCAACTGAACGATCCCATAGTCCTCCCATTAGAGTCTTTAGAGATGGAAATGGATCGGGTTCGGGCGGGTGGATCATCACCCGCCTCCATCCACCCCACCCAATCCATCCACCACCCGCCAAAACATCCACTTGAATTCATCCATCTAAAGCTTTCAAAAGTTGACTTTACCTGAAATACCGACTTGGACCCGATTATTAACCAACTCATTTGAACCCGAAAAAATGGTGACCCAAACTCGACCCGACCCGACCCGACCTGAAACCAACCCTAAACCCGATTTGACCCGAGTATGTGAGACCCGAACCCAAATATGAACCGACCTGGAGATGACCGACCCAAATGTAACCCGTAAATTATTGACCTGAATCAAACCCGACTTGAACCGAAATTGACCCAAACCCATTTTAACCCGTCAAAACACGAATTAGCCCCGACTTATTACTAACCCAATCTGAATTCAACCCGATCTGTTCCTAACCCGACCCTAATTTAACCCGACCAGTTACAAACCCAACCAAAATCAACCCGACTTGTTATTGACTCGACTCAAATTCAACCCGACTTGTTGTTGACCCGACCCGAATTTTACCCGACCTATTACTAACCGTCCCAAAAATTCAACCCGATCTGTTACTAACTCGACTCGAAATCAACACGACTTGTTATTGACCCAACCTAAATTCAACCAAATTGTTCCTGACCCGATTTCAAAACACCTTAAGGTTGTGTTTGGATTCAAGCATTTCATTTGAAATCTAGATTTTCAAATTTGGAATTTGAATTAATGACATTCAATTCCAAATTCTCTATTTGGAAAAAAAGATTAGAATTTCAAATTTATCAAAATTCTCTCTTCGTTGCTTTACTCTCCCTGACATTCAAATACCCCAAATTGTTCATCCAAATCTCTCTCCTCCTCATGTTCATCTAAATCCCCAAATTGTTGACCCAATTCGATGAGAAATCAGTGTCGATCAACCAAAATCTACAATCATTGTTTAAATTATGACATCAATCAACCCAAATTGGCATTCAAATTAACATGTCAATGGTGGTTGGTGGTCAGAAAATTGTGAATGTACCTTTGAAACTTTTCGATCGAGGAGAACGCACACAAGCTGCTTTAATGGAGGATATAATCTTCAGTAATACAGAGTACATCAATGGAGGAGAGAGAGCTAAGAAGTTGCTTCAATAGAGGAGAGAAAAAAAAAATGGGGAAACCTAAAAAGACCTAGGAGAGAGAAATGGGGGTAATTTTTTTTACATGTGAGAATTTGAAATGACATCTTATGAGGATAGAATTTGAATTCATTGATTTGGATAGATTTAATGGCTTGGATTTGGCCCAAATCAGAATTTCAAATGAAATCCTTGATACCAAATAGACCATAAATTCAATTTAGACCACCTTATTATTGTTGATCAAAGTATTTTGTACAGGGAGACCAAGTCGATCCAGGCCAGCAAAAGAAAGGAGCATCAACCCCAAATTTAAGAGAAAAATATAGTATATATTTGTTGTATGGTCAAAGGAGATAATTATCTTCCTAAATTATAGACTATAGTTCCCTAATATGTTGCCATATATATTATAGTCAAAGGAAATAATTAGCTTGATAAAAATGATAATTATCTATTTACAGTTAGTTGAACCCGAATATGACCTGACTTGAAAATGATTCGACCTGATTGTAACCCGCAAATTATTGACTTGAACATAACCCAACTTGAACCCGAGAATGACCCGACTTGAAAATGACCCAACTTGATTATAACCAGCAAATTATTGACTTAAACCAAACCCGACTTGAACCCGAGAATGACCCGACTTGAAAATGACCCAACTTGAAAATGACCCGACCTGATTATAACCCGCAAATTATTGACTTGAACCGAACCTGACTCAAACCCGAGAATGACTCGACAAACCCGCAAATTATTGACTTGAACCGAACCCGAGAATTACCCTAACCCGTGAAAACCCGAATTAAACCCGACCTATTGTTCACCCGACCCAAATGTAACCCGGCCTGTTATTAATCCGACCCAAACCCAATAGGACGTATGACCCGACGTGACCTGACGCAAGAATGACCCAACCCGAACCCGACCCGCATAGGTTACGGCATTAACCCGAATTGACCGGACCAACTCTTACCCGACCCGTTTATCCAAATTGACAGCTCTACATCCATCCATCACCCACGGGTGAAGTGGATGGTTCAGGTGATAATCGGATGTACAATGTGAGCATTTAAATTATTAAATTAATGTTTTTTTAAATTGTTTTTAGGAAGAAAAAGGGGGGAAATTGATGAAAAATGGCAAGCAGTGAGATTAGTGGGTCTTCGCAACCCATCAGAATTAAGACTGATTATGTCCCTCATGAAGAAATTGCCATTTTTCAATTCAAAGGAGCCTAGGTAATAACATTTTATCATTTAGGACATTAGCTTAGGAATCACAATATTGAAATATTCGGTTATTAATGAATTTCAAAAATAAAAATATATATAAAAAAAAATATATATATATATATATATATATTAAAATATTCGGGTGATGGGTCGGGTCAACGGATCAGATGATGGGTGAAAATTGTCCACCCGAATCCGATGCATCACCCGCCTATCATCCATTTAAACCGGGTTTTTCACCCGTCCAATAAGGGCTATAAGGCGAGTGGAGCGGGTGAGCGGGTGGTTCACTAGATATTTCCATCTCTACTTCCCATAAGCTGGAGGGGGAATTTCTAACTACTTGAATTATCCTTTATTCTCATTTTCTTTTTTGGAGTGTATGTAGCTTATTATTGTCACGGTCTAAGCGTTTTGACACTGAATCATGTGGCGAGCTCTTGTCTTATGGCGACGAAAACGCAAGCCTAGTGTGGATGAGGGCTCATGAGCACAAAGCAACATGGGCCAAGGGTATCTCAAAGGTTGCACGAGTCTTAAAGTGACTAGTGCAGAGTCGGTGTTTGTGATGGTCAATATTTCAAAGCAGGCACAAGTGGATCAGACTACAAAGAAGGTCTCTTTAGAGGTTCTCTTGGTTTGGAGGAAAGGCTTTAAAACAAGGCAAGCACCATTCCTATTAAGGCTAAAAAAATAAAAAAAAACTCTTTTAGAAAAACCACATAATAAGAGCTTTTTTTAAGTAGTTTATTCAACAATAAGCTTATTGGTAATTACATACACTATAACAGTCAACCATTAACAATTTTTTACCAATCACATACAAGCAGTATTTCATAATTAACCTTTAAAGCGTAAATTTTCAAGCTTTTTTCAACCTTCTTTTTTTCCTTTCTTTAGAGGTTGTTGTAAGTGTTTATAGGTACTACGCAGCGAAAAACATGAATCATATTCAATCAAGTACCTAATCCCTAGATCACATGCATAACACACAAGACACATAATCATACCTTTGAAGCGTGAATTCCACGTAGCAGTTGATTGACAAATCAGGGAGAGAATAAAGCCCCAAGCGTTGCTCCTCTACTTAGTCCACGAGCATCGAACGAGCCGTCCACCAATACTAGATTGGTCGAGTGATTGAGGAAAATCGCGATCAACACCTTTAATGGACTAACCGACCACCACGAACCACCACACTGGCGCCGAGGGAGGAGAGAGAGCCGTGAGAGAGAGGAGTGTTTGAGAGGGCTAAGTCTCGTGTTTGCTAATTCGGGTTTTGATCTTACTGATCAATTGAATTCAACTCACTAGCAAACCCTAGGCACCTAGTCTATTTATAATCACATTATAATTAGACTAGGGTTAGGAAGCCCAAAACCCTCAACCTTACTCCATATGGCCAACCATACTAGGGGATGAGGCCCATCATGGGCCTCGTCCTCTCGTGCCCGATCTAGACCCTTTGTGTGACCTTATAGGATCCGTCTAATTGAGCTTTGGGCTATTTTACTAGCCCAAATATCGTTAGTACCTCTAGCTATGATAAAACGACGACCCAAATGTCCGAACTTAATTATCTCCATAATTTGTTCCATTTATATATCTAGTAATTGCACACGACGAAGACATAAATCCTTCAATCTCCCATTGTCTGAGGCAAGTGTGCAATATTCAAATTCCTTAAGTCAATATGTATCGATTTGATAATATGATTGTATCAAATGTCGAGATCATATTAATCTACAAATAGTTTTTTGAAATCTTAGTTAGAATTACAAAACCAAATGAGTACTGAGTAATGCATGCGGCCACGCATTTTCTGAATTCTCCCTCTTCAAGCGGCCATGACACATTTCCTAATTTAATAGGTAGACTCAATCCAATCTTGTGACAACAGGGCTCCCACTCAACTTTTGAAATAACCAGGAAACACCCTTTATAATCTCCAGTTACGTGTAGACGTTTGAGTGTACCACAGTCATAACATCCATTATATTGAGAAATCAATGTTCCACTCATGTCAAAGGAATCCACTAATATATCCGGAAGCTCTATACTTGAACTTCAAAGTAGGTCAATAGTTCGATCATGCATCATTCATGTATATCCAAGTGACTGACCGAGCATCACTATGCCCCTATGGCGCATGAAACTGCGCTATCCAATCAATCTTACATCACTATGCCCCACTTTAATGATTTCGAACTAGGAACTTAAATAATGTATGAATTTTGTTCACCTGTGGGGTTTCATTTGCCAGTTCATCAACCATATGAGCCCATCAATTCATAATTATTTTGGACATTTTATTTAATTTCTAAAACCATAATTAAATAAGAGAAATGAAATTTCTGTTTTAAACATAATTCTACAAATTAATGCATTTCTTATGTAATATATTTTCTCAAAACATATACAACTTAAATTACATAACTTGCTTCAATCCAAGACTTTAATATGACTCTCATACCTTAGTCTATGGAAGGGGTTTAGTTATTTCTCACTCATAATAA